ATATATATATATATATATCTTCTCTATCTTTCTTTCTCTCTTTTTTTTTTTCTTTTTATCGATCCTCCATACACTTCTCATATTCCTTTCTTAACTCTGCTTCCTCTTCCGGTGAAAAATCACTTTCAACTCCTAAAAAAGCGCGAAGACTTTCAATAGACTTTTCTGATAAATACACTGCTAAACGTGCTGAAGCCAAATTTAAGAGTTCTTCATAGTTTAAAAGTGTTGCAGCTTTTACCATTAATATAGTGGTTACTTCATCCCAATCTTCTATAAAGTGACGATCGTAAGCATCCAAATATTCAGCCAAAGGTAATACCATGGGTCTGGGAATTTCACGCATTATATTTCGTCCACAGTAACTGGAAAAATTACTACCAGACTTGTTATTATCATTATTGCTATTCACTACTCCTGCAGCAGTTGAACCACTACTATTTCGGTTCGGTGGTTGATGATTATATCTATATGTCATATGAGCACATATTCGCTTAAGTAAACTACCAGTGAAATATGGAAAAGGTAACTCAATGGCCGGTATACTATTGTTACTACTACCATTATTACTGTTGTCATTCATCCTTTGACCTTCACTCACTATACTAGTAGTATTAGTATTAGTAGTATTATCATTTACATCATTCGCAAAACCCTCACGAAGTCTTGTTGTCGGCTCTCTTCCATCCAGTAAATCACGTAGTACTAATGAAGCTTGTGTGGCTACAAAACGACTGACAATGGCCCGTTTCCCATCAGATCCTATTAATATAACCAGTTGTTCCGGCATGTCGTTTCTAGTAAATAATGATGTCCAATTTCTTTTTTTTTTTTTTTTTTAATATAATAACCCCAAGACATACTTTCCCCAGACCCCAGAAAAATAAAATAAAAATATATCAAAAGAGAGAGAGAGAGAAAGAGAAAGAAAAAAATAGAAATATATACAATATAATATAATATATATATATATAAACAAAGATAAACATATGATACAAGCAATATATTAAGAGATGCAAAAGCATTTTTGGTAATATTTATGTGTTTTGGGGGGTTTGTTTATACCCCCCGGTGAATGGGCGACAAGTGGAAATCACATACAAAACGGATATATATCATTCTTTAATGATTTGATTCTTATCAGTTCTAATCACGTCAGATTCTCTTTCGTCACTTTCCTCCTCATCTGTATATATATATATATTTCTTTTTTTTTTAAAGACCTTCTTCTCAAGATTCGAAACTGAATCCAAAACTGCTGTTTTTTTCTTTTTTCTTTTTATTGATTTCCTTTTTCCGCTGTGATGACAATTTATCCAAACAAAACACATCATGTATGAACTATATCTTCAACTCCACGTCCATTACAAGACGGTTCATTAATTCCCACACGGTTCCCACGATGAGACCTCCACTCCTGTTTTTGGATCTCGATATACATAGTACATCCTTCCATGTTCTTTAGAATAGATCGCTCTACACGTCGGTGAAGAGGATGTGGTAGTCACATATGAAGAATCCGCCATGGGATTTCCCCTCATCTCATGTAAAGTGTTTGAAGATGTACACTTTCCTGATGGTTGTTGTTGTATTTGCTGTAATTGTTGTTGTTGGGATTGTTGAAGATGATGCGGATGGGGATTGTAATGGAATGATATATTATCAGATGTCAATGATGGTTGTTGTACCCCACCAACTCTAACTGTTAACGGCTGATGATAAGTTTCTATAGAATGATCCTTATTATCATTATAGTCTCGATGATTATGATGATGACGACTGTGACGTTCATGACTACGACGACGTTGTTTGTTTGAACTGATCTTTTCACATGAACGGCGTCTTGAATGTCGATGATGTCTTTCTTCCTTTGAACGTTCACGATGTCTTTTTCTACGATCATGATGTCTGCTTTCATCATAATCATCATTATTATATTTCATCCTATCACTACTATATTGTAATAATTGTTCTTGTGGATTTTGGGTCATATAAGTAAATGCTTGAGATTGCTGTGTATGATGTCTTGCAATAGCATCATCCATAGCCACAGCAGTATGAACATTAGCAATAGTAATATTAGCAATCGTATTAGTAGTATTGAAACTACCATGTGCTTTATGTTCACTACACCAATAACGTTTAAATATAGGACCCATTAATCCAAGATTTTGTGGTGTAACACTAAAGGTGGTAATTGTATTCATTGGTACACTAAGTTCCCTACTTGTACGTGGTCCACTCTCATACCGTACATATAATCGCCAACGATATTCCACCTCTACCTCTTCTTCTTCTTCTTTCTTCCCTATAGTTTGTGGTATAGTTGCTGTTCTTGTTGTTGTTTCCATTTTTCCCTTTCCAATAGGAACTGCTAACTCCAATGTAACACCGTGGAAAGTCTGCACAACCTGTTTAGCTCCATCTTCATCTCCCACTTCCACAAGTGCCCGTACGGTTCGTCGTTTACTATTATTATTATTATTATTATTATTATTATTATTATTATTATTATTATTATTACCATCAGCACTATCTGATGTAGTTGAGATATCACGTCTGAACATCACAACTTTCCTTACAAAACAAGTTGTACGTAGAAGTTGATAGATTAGATGCGGTGTCACCACAAGATTATTTTCCTCTTCACGTGAAGGATCTCTTTCCCTCTCCTCCTTTTTCTTTTCTCCTTCTTCTTCTTCTTCTTCTTCACGATGTTTATGATGTTTCTTATGATGATGTTGATCAAATGTACATACAAATGTCATGCAAAGTACTACAGCCCCTGTACTTGATCCTGTTCGTGTTGTTTGACGGGAATCCACCGGTTGTGTAGAGTCATTCACATCATCATTCTCATCTTCTCCATTATCACTCTCATTATCCTTCATTGTATCATTCTCTTCACTACTCCAATCACTTTCTTCTGCGTCATTCATATACCTTTCTTCATCATAAGGGGTACTACTACTCTTGTTATTATTTGTAGGGTCTACAATATTTCTTTGCGGATATTTACGCATTGGTGATATTCCAGAGGTTAGAGTTGGATGTACATTATCACCACTTCCCCCACCTGCGGCTTTCACCGTACGTGTATGCGTGCTAGTGGAAGGTGTAAGTGTCGATACCACACCAGCACCAGTCTTATTATGACTAAGGTTCATATTATTATTATTATTATTATTATTAATAGTCGAACGTGAGGGTGAAGCACTAGCGGGTGTTGTTGGTGGAATAGCGTCCACTAAATAAATAATACCCTCCACCAATAAACGATCCTGCCCAAAGTAAACATACCCACGCCGTAGTTCCATGCAACTTTCCTTATCTTGCTCCAACAATTCGTGTTGAATAATTCTTGACAACACCACACGCACCGCCGCTCGCTCAGAAAACACCACCGTCACTTCGCCACCCACACAAGGCGAACTCCCACACTTCCCATTGCTGCTGTTTTTATTAAAAACAACACTCTTTATATGCGCCGCCGCAGTAAAGCGGAAGTGAGACGCAAAAAAGTCGCGCAGCATTCTTTCATTGTTATGAAGACGTGTGGGAAGTTCCCACAACTGCAGTGCGCGTCCGTCCAGCAGCGCCTCTTCCGCCATTTAAAGAAAAAAAGAAAAAAAAAATGGCTTTCTTTTATTTTTTCCTTTTTTTTTTTTTATTCCTCTTTGTTGTGGTTGTTTGTTTACAGTCTCTCGTAATACGACTAGAATCTATTTCCACTGTTATGATGATTGTAGTTATTGGATATCCACAGATGTAGATATACGAATGTTTAGAAATAAAGAGTAGGAGGAAAGAGAAAGAGAGAAAATATGTGAAAAAAAAAGAGAATGAGAAAAACATACATACATAGGGTGAGCACAAGTGTTCACAAGCGCACCGAAGGCTCCAATATCATTAGGACAAGAGAAGCAACAATAGAAATGGAAAAAAGAGAGAAAGGACAAAACAGAAAAAAAGAAACGTAAAGAGGAAAAAAAAGAAAAACACATACTAGACACAAGAAACTCTCACGAGCATAATTCGTGTGAGTGGAGCAATACTACGCGTCTACTTTTTTTTTTTTTTTTTACTATGAACAAATGCCCATATATATATATATATATATATATATATAAACTCACATAGGAGTGACATTTGATCACAATAGAAGCATAGATCCAACACAAGATGAGTAAAAAGTAAAGTAAAGAAAAAAAAATATATATATAATTGCGAGATCAAATAATAGTAAAGTAGTAATGAACAAGAAAAAAAAAAGGTATGTCTAATGCCCAAACACCAGCATTAACAACGAACAACAAACAATAATAAAAAAAAAAAAGGACTAAAAAAAGAAGCAAAAGCAGAAAAAACAAACAAACAAAAAACTATTACAAAAGAAATGTGGACACAATGCTGTCTCCCCCATAGTATAGTCCTATAATAAACTTATTCCCAAACGGTTTTAAAAAAACATATATATATATATATATCCTCTCTTTTTTTTTCCTTCTTTTTTTTCCTTTTCTCTTTCTCCTGTCTAAGTAGCACTTTTTTTTCCTTTTTCTTTTTTTCTTCAGTAGAATACAGTGAAATAACTGATAAAATTACCTGGGGAGCCGATACCCCACTTTTTTTTTTCCGAGGAAAAAAAGCAATTCAATATAAGAAAAAAGGGTTTGTGTTTTTTTTTTTTTTTCCGTGCGTCCGAAAAAAAAAAAAATAGAAACAGTTGACCAACAGATTTGCCCTGTTCAAGCACGTGAATAGCAGCACGCACGCACACATAATATTATTAATAATAATAATAATAATAATAATAATAATAATAATAATAAAACAATAAAACGCCACTTATGGTATTTCCTCACACTAACAGTATATATATATATATTTCCTGTTGACTCCGTTACTATACTACAGTCTCGTATTGTGATTACATTGAGTTGTCACTCAGCCACAAAAACACCACAGGGGCACATAGTTTCATTCCTTTAACATCTTCTTTCTCCGCTTTTTATTATGAGTAGTACTAGTATCATAAATATTATTTAGTAGTAGAAAACATCACACAAAATAGGAAGACCGTACAGACCACTGGAAGCGCGTGCTATGTATATAAATTATATATATATATATATATATATATATATAAACTTTTGTGTGTAATAATTTGATTTGTTTTCTTCTTTTTTCTTTTCATTTTATTGTTTGACATGAACAGCAAAAGGAGCAGATATATTGGAAAAATGTTGCCTCTTGACACCTTTTTTCTTTTCTTTTCGTGACAGCTGCTTTCACGAATTCAGAAATAAATCCTTTTTTTTTTTTCTCTCTCTTTGCACCTCAGCTCATATATAAACGATTTCTCGTCCCACATGAATGGATAAATAGATAGATAGATACATGACCGCCCTCAAATATAGCAAGAAAATTACCGAAATAATTAAAAAAAAAAAAAAAAAAAAAAAAAAAAAAAAAAAAAAAAAACAAAAAAAAAAGACACACCTTGAGCTATTTTTTTTTTTTCCTTTCCTTTTTTTTTCTCGTTCTTCCTCTTCTTTTTTTTTTTTCTTTCCATTCCCAAAAGGATTATTTTCTTTAAACATTCCACTTTTGTTTTCTCTTTTTTTTTTTTTTTGGTTCACCATTTTCCTTGCTTTATATATTTTTTTCTCTAGCTTTTTCTTTTTTTTTTGACTTTTTTTTTTTTTCTCTTTTCCTTCACTTACATTTTTTTTTTTTTTTTTTGAGAAAGCATGGGAGATGAGATTATCCACAAAAATTCCCTTTTATTTTCCTTTTCTTTTTCTTTCCTTTTCTTCTTCTTGAGATCACACACAAACATCATTCATCAACACTATTTCCTCTACTCTCCTTTAGGCGCCATGAATGGCTTCACTCTTCCCAGCCGCCGCGCAGGAGACTGTGGGGAGTCCAAACACCCGTTGGAGTTCCGACACGAAACTGCAGTCGTGGACCATACTTTTCCCCGGCGCATCTGAAATCTTCGCCACCGGCTTTCCTTCACATCCCGTCATTTTAATTACAATATTCAGTGGACGCACTCCGGGAATAGAACAGGTGAGTTGGGTGCCAATCCCACAGAGAACTTGAATTTTATTAGCAAAGGTGCGATGTAAAGTGGCGGCCTTTTCAAGATCTAAAGAGTCTGAAAAGACGAGGGTTTTACTTTTCGTATCAATACCAAGATGTTGATAGTGTGTAATGGCTTTACGTCCCCACTCAAATGGATCACCCGAGTCGTGACGGAGTCCATTATAGGCATCGGCGAGATCTTTACTGAAATCCTTCAGGAAAATATCCATTGATATACAGTCTGTGAGGGCAATATGGAGATCCTGCGGATATTCCACAAGCCACTGTGTGAGTGCCACTCGCTGTGAGTCTCGTAATACAGGTGTGAGTTGTTGATGGGCCTGAAACCACTCATGTGCTTGTGTACCCACCGCCTGAAGATGATATTTCATGGCTAGAAGATAATTACTGGTACCGCAGAAATAAGAACCAAACTTAGGATGTGACTGAAGAGTCTTTACAACCGCCTCCTGTACTTCAAAACTGTAACGTCGTCTGGTACCAAAATCAGAGACACGAAAGGTCTCAATCGTCTCTTCAGGTGTATTTGCGAAGAAATTATCAAGTTTATTGTTGAGATGCGATATGGCCTCTGTTACTCCAATATGTGGTGTTCGTAGACGATGCGTCACTTCACTCACAATAGCCAATAATGGAACCTCCCAAAGTATAGTCTCCACCCAGGGACCTTCAATAGAGATGCTGAGATTGGTTTCATTATTATTATTATTATGACTATCACCACTTTTATTCCCATTGGTTGTATTGGTTGCGATGGGAAGAGCTCGGATAGTGACTTGCTGTGGATTAAATCGATACTGACGAAGCCAATTAAGATAGTCTTTACGTAAGTATCGCTTTGAAGACAAGTATTCATATTCTTCATCTGTTAATGAAATATATTGCATAAGTTCCACCTGCTTCTTAACAGCATCTGCAATGTTACCAAGATGATCATCCTTATTACGGCAATAAAACTCAAAGGAGCCTTTCACAGAAGGGTACATGTGAAAAACGGCCTGTTGCATGTGTAATTTATATGCATCTGTATCCAAAATGGATGTAATGATTGGCTTAACTTCAACCGTCATTTTTTTTTTTTTTCCTTTTATGTGTTTAGTCCTTAATAACTCAAAGTACTTTTTTTTTTTTTGTGTTGATGTTATTGTTCTTCTTTTGTTTCCCTTCCCCCTTTGTCTTTCCCTTTTCTTTTTTTTGGGGGGTTTATTCCTCGCTACTGCCTATTAAAGGCTGGCCACAACCTCTCTAAAAAGGACGGCTATAATGAGTACAAAAAGAGAAAGAACAACAATAAGAAGATATAAGAAAAAAAAAAAAACAGCAGAACAAACTTTAGAGTAGAAACCATAATATACAATAGGAAAGAGAAAAAAGATAATAAAAAAAAAAGATAAAAAAAAAGATTTATTTCACATCTCTTCACTTCCATAACACATTCCAAAAAAAAGGAAAAAAAAAAAAAAAAAAAAAAAAAAAAAAAAAAAAAACACATTGTGTGTATAGGAACCTTCATCTATACTTTTTTTTCTAATTTTTTTTGGACAATTTAGAAGTAAAAAAAAAAAACTCACTTTATATTGAAAAAAAAAATGTACATATTTTCTGCAGACAATAAGAAAAAAAAAAAAAAAAAAAAAAAAAAAAAAAAAAAAAAAAATTTTCAATGTATTACAGCATAAGGTACGACAACAGCCTCTCGCACCAATCCATCAAATATATATATATATATATATATATATATGTATATATAT